AATAGTCTCTGACGAATTTCTTTAGCAGCGATGTCGTAGAATTTCAAACAATTAGCGTAAACTGATTTGACAATTTCACCCTGATCTTCTTCATTCAATCGATCAAGAAGATCTTGGCACGCTTGTCCAACCAGAACTTGATCAGGAGAGCGACGATTACACGCGAGTAAGGGATTAATTGTACCCATCGCAACAAATTCTAACAACGGTGCTCTTACAACGTTGCGAAGGATGGTTTTCAATAGATTTTCCGCGGATGACTGTAATAAATGAACTTTTGTTTCTTGAGCTTGAAATGACGCATTAAATTTATTAAATGCGTCAAGAATATACTCTAAAAACAACAAGCTTGGATTTCTGGATTTTGCATCATGAGCAGCAAAGAAGCCCTAGACTTCGATTTCTCGCTCGCTTGCTCTTCTTGCAAAAATTTCAATAACACGTCCCAATTTTCATTTAGTCTAGCCACGCATAAATGGCGAGAAAGCCATCGCGTTTCAGACAATTTTAAAATATTTCTATTACTGGTATCAAAATTAAATGCTTCTTGGAACTGTTTAAAAATATATGCACGTTTGGGACTGCTGGAGATGAACGATGCCACTTTGCGCAGCAATTCCTCGCATGCTTCAGGAATTGCTTTGCAAGCTGCATTTGCCACTAATGCAGATGAGTGACACGGACATGGCATTGTTATCAAATTTTTGCAATACTTTTCTAATTTTTTTTTTAAATGATTCATATTTTCCTGTCATAACGGAGGCATTATCACAGGAATAAGCGAGAATATTTTCGAACGAAATTTGTTTTTTCCACATTTCGGTTCTAAAAGTTATAAATAATTTGTCGGCACTGCAATCACTCGCGTCTAAATTATTAATTAATAATTATTAATTAATAATTAATGAATTAATTTTAATAATTCCGTCCGAACACTCAAAGTTTGAGGGTCGACATACCGAACAAGAAATGTCATCCATTTATCATTTGTAATATCGGAAGTTTCATCGATAAATATTGAAAATTTGTTATTTTGTAAAGTATTTATTAATCGTTCCTGTTCGCGAGTACATAAGACATTATTTATTATTCGCGGCGCCTTTTTTCGATTCATCGTCATACTTTGCAAAACACTAGGATCTTTCCTGATATCTTGAAACAAAGCTAAAATTGCCTCTGCCGATTGAAACGGAATGTTCTTTTCGGCAATTAATGCTGCAAATTTAATTTCCGCGATTTTTTTACGATCTTTAAAAGACAGAGCCGATGTTTCCTCTAGCGTATTC